TTAATGTGGGTGGCGTGTGTGTGTGTGTGTGTGTGTGTGTGTGTGTGTGTGTGCATTTACGTGTGTGTGTGACATCACACAACATCGAGGGAGAAATCAAGATTGCCGTTGGTGAGCAGTTTTAATGTGCAGAGCGTCGACTAATTGGCACAATGATGGGAGATGAGAGACTGGCATCAGACCGATGTCACCCCAGAGGGGGGAGAGAGGAGGAAGGAGGGAGGGAGAGACAGAGAGAGAGGGAGAGAGGGAGAGAGACAGACATGGGTTAAAAAAAAAAGAAAAGGAGGGAGGGAATGAGAGGTCACTGAAAGGAAAAATAGAAGTAGGAGGACAAGGAGAACATACAAAAAGAAGAGGGGGAGGAAAAAGTTGAGAGGACAAATTATACAAGTAGGAATGAAAGAAAATAAGTAAGAGGGTGAGATAAGAAAAGATGAGGATGATGGAAAAGAGAAATGAGAGGGGGAGGAAAGAAAAAATAGACAAGGTGGGAGGTAAAGAGAGATTGCAACTGGAAAGGTAAGAAGGAAAGGGGTGCTGTAGAAAATGAGAAAGTGTAAAGAACAAAAAGAAGCATTGTGGTACATGGATGAAGAGGAGAGAGAAAGGGAAAGAGAGCTGGAGAAAGAAAGAAGGGGCAAAAATAGAGGGAAGAAGGGTTCAATGAAGACAGGGACTAAAAAATACAGAGGGACAATGGATGGAGGGAAAGAAAAGGGACAGAAAACAGAGAGATAAAAAGAATTTGAGAGAAAGAGGTGAGAAATGGAGAAAAATATATTGGGATGTTTTTTTCTATTGAAAATACAGAGGCAACAGCAGTGCGCAATGGAGAGATGAAGAGTGGGTGGATTGAGAGAACATTTTTTTCTAAATGTTCTCAAGAGAGAAAGTGACAGAAAATGAAAGAGAAAGAAGGAGGAGAGATGTTCTCCTTGATGGACAGGTGGAGCTCAGAGGGGAAAAAACGAGCAGGATTATCCAAGACAGGCAGAGAATGCGAAACAGACTTTCATCCATTAGATCAAACTACAACAAACCAGCCAAGTCCTCTAAGATGTAAATGAGGAGCTTCTTTCCAATATGAGACATCCACAGCTTGAGAAAAAAACTGACACCTACTCACACAAAATGACTGACAGCAAGGAAATTAAACAAATTACAGGACTTTGTGAGAACTGCAGATAACTTAAATCCCTGATTGACAAAATATCACTTTCACATACCCTTACCGCTGCAGTATATAATGGAGATATTGAATTTAGAGAATGAATTATTCAAATGCTGACATTCTTCTTTGTGGGGAGACGTGGCTCAGCAGTCTATTCAGAGTCAAATGACAACTGGCGGTGGTGGATTCACTGGTCAATTTAATTTCTCCATAGCCAGTGCAGCTTTCCAAACATAAAAAGGAACTGATGCAAGACCTTTATTGTCCTTTTGTGCCAAAGGAGACATGTCCTTCAACCAGACCGGTTGGGTTCGAGCTGTGTCAACAAACATTCACTCTGCTGATGAATCCTTGAGGAAGGCACTGAAAGCCTACTAGCTCCAGGGCAGCTGTTGTGTACCTGACCCTGGCCATTGATTTCCCTGGGAAGTGAACAGGAAAAGACACAGCTACTAGTATCAGAGAGACTGTCCTTGGCAGTGAAATGACAGCATTGGTCTTTTGTTCATATACCTCTTTCACTCAGGCTAATAATGCAGAAGAAGCCTAACTATGTTATAGCACCACAAAAAACTTCTTTCGGAGGAAGATGCACACCAGAAATGGTGTTTGCATCCCATCTTCAAACAATCTATGCTTAGTCTACGGTTTCTTTAAACCTAGAAAATGCATGTTCCGTATCCTTAATTAAGCTGTTTACTTGGCTAAGCCAAACCATGATATTTGAGGTGGCTGACAAACATTGTATGGTATTAAGGTATAGAAACTTTTTGGGATCAAAAAGATGTAAACATTTGCACTCACAAAATGTTTCACACTTACTGCGAGTTGGAAAGCTAATAAGTGCATTTTTGAGTTGAGATTATTTTCTTACACAGGGGTATTTAATAAGACTATCCTCCCAAGAAAAACAACAACACCAGTCATTTCACAAATGCCCAGAAATGACACATGTTTAAGTTCAAGTGATAAAGCCTTCTAGTGGCTCTTGTCTGTTTGGAGCAAAGGAAGAAATACTGTCACCTTATAAAGCTAAAAGGTCAGCAGACGGAGGAGGTACTTTGGCATGAGATGTCCATTTCTGTCCTGTTTCCTGCTGACAGTCAGTGTTGTTGTTTTTTTTCTTTTAACTATGATCCCAATTGTTCCTTAACCTAACCAAGTAGTTATTCTAACCCAAGCTCTGTAAACACCTTTAACTTTGCTACAGTGTTAGCCCTAATCGTAATCTGTGCATTGGTGCATTCATCCTGTATTGTGCACTAATACTACAAAGTTACACACTAAAAACAAATTAGGATGTTGGCACAAAGCTCTGTCTCTCTCAAAAGGAGGCGATGAAACTAGTAGACCATTCTGTTGGTTGCAATAGCTGGGATGTTCCTAAAACAATAATTATTGCATGATTTGTTTCTCTTTGGGATGGATAACATGCAGAAATATATATATATATTGGCAGAAATTCACAAGTTCTATGAATGTGTGTCCATTTTTTTATGCCTGACTTCCTTATCAAATCATCTGGGTTATGGTCGCTGCCACCGGCCTCCCCACCCATACCCCCTCGATGCTCCAATCCATGACCCACACAAACATCACACTGATTGGATTGACTGAGATCCAATCAAATGTGACCGGATTTAGGGTCTGCTCATATACAAAGCACATGCATACACACTCAACTGGCAAGCACAAGCAGAAGCACACGCACTTTTAAACACATACTCATCCACTCACATGCACGCTTGATCAATCATGCAAGAACCCCTCCCACACACACACTCACACCCACTGGCACACAGTCTCTGTCCATGTGAGTGCATTGTGGGAAATCTGCCTTCTGGAGGAGGATATTACATCACAGCATCAGCCAGCTTGCCCGGCCCCGCTCGCCAAACCGAGTTACCGTGGTTACGGCAGTGGAAAATTAAAACAACCCTCACAGGGGTTCAGAGTATTATGGTATTTCAAAAGCCAAGTTCAAGTTGTGAATGAGTTATGAGAAGGAGAGAGGTGGGCGGGGTGTTGTTATATTTGCAGACGGTATAATTGCCAGGTGAAAAAGGGGAAGCAAACAGATGGATTCCGGGAGTGAAGATTATTTCCTTTTTTCCTCATAAGAAGTGACATAATGTTCACTTTACTGGTCCAGGGTCTTGAGTGGAAAATTCAAACTACTTCTACTGTGTATACAACTGTAACCTCACCTCAGGCACTAAGCACACAGTGACTGCCTGAACCTTTAAAAGCTTTCAAAATCTCTCTGGGACAGGGGTGTTTCTGTGCAGAGGAAGTTATTTTGTTTTGAGTTTGATTTTAATGCCCCATGTCAGTTTAAATATAGTTTCCAGGTTTTTCCTAGCTGTCAAAGAGTTTTAGAGAGTTTTAAAGCCCCTATATGTAGAATTTTTCAATGATTGTAGCATCTTTCCTATTAGTCTAATAGTATAAGTTTTTGTTTATAAGAAGAAAATGAGACAATCCTGGTAAATCTGCCCCAGCATCTTTTAAGATACTAAACCATGAGGGCACCATAAGTCAGAAATGTTCTGTTTCTACACATATAGTAGAAATATCAGCCTTTGAAAAATTATTTCCAATTTATCTCATTTGTTCAAAGTTCTTTCCTGTTTTTTTGATACTTTTGGAGTCTTGTCACTCACCCCATTGGCTCTGCTCATGGCCTGGTAGAAGATGCTGTAGCTCTTGGCCGGTGACAGTGGTGGATTCCAGAAGCCACCGTAGCTCTTATTGTCTCCCACTGTGAACGGCTGTACAACTGTGAGACTGGACGGGGGCAACTCGGCAGCGATGTAGTAGGGCGAGTCCAAGATGGAGGCATTGCGGAAGCTGACAGGGGTGGAGAAACACTCAGGGGTATCGGAGGCGGCGCGGCGGGTCTTGGACTTGCGTTCCTCCTTCACAACGAGCTGGTACGAGCTGGAAACACAAATAAAGTTATATTAATATCTGCTTTTGTGTCCTGCTTACTAAAACTGCTGGTTTTGAAGCTTCTGCAGACAAAAGAAGAAGAAAAAGTGTACTGTTGAGAAGGCTAGCCTTGACTGGATAAAACAATCACTCATTGGAATTTAGACAATTAATTTGTCATTTCTGTTTCAGTGGTGATTATTTCTGTAACAATTATTGTGTTTGTACCTATCATTAAAATGTATTTGGTCAAATAGCACATATGTACAGGGTTTTAAAGGGTGCAAGTCTTGTAACTGTTTCATTTGAACTCGTAAAAAAATATGCATTTGTACTTTAAATATACCCTCATTCAGCTTAAACATATGACAGTCGTACTGATCCCCATTACTAAATCATTATAGCCATTTAAAAGTTTTAATTTCCAAAGTGCTTTGTATCCATTTTGGCAATTAAAGCATTAGGAGAAGAGGGCTGAAGTCAGGAAAATGCCCACTATCCTTTAAAAAGGAATATAATTTGTTCCAAGGGTCACTTCCTTTTTCAAATGGTAGATATACTTTGGAAGCAAACTTTAGCTGACTTTCTAACAAAGTAGCTGGCAGATCATTTCTTGTGCTGACTCAGCAGCAGCAAAGTATGAATTAAAAGTAAGAGATGTCTGTGCGTGTGTGTGTGTGTGTGTGTGAGAGTGTGTGTGTGCAGGGGAGATAAGAGGTTACATCTTCCTTTGCATACGTGTGTTTTCTTATACACATTAATAAGTTGTAAATGATACATCTCTCTGCCCAGTGTCTGCTTGTGTGTGTGTGTGTGTGTGTGTGTGTGTACATGTTAGCAGGTGTGCATGTGCCTTTACGTGCTGTAGCAGCTGTGTTGTGTGTGTGTGTGTTTAAACAGGTGTATTGAGGTGTGTTTATATACTTAATACTACTTTATCTTTGCGTGTGGGGGCTCCTGCGTGTGTGTGTGTGCATGTGTGTGTGTACGTGTGCATGTTTCCATTCTGCTTTGAGAGGCTTCATGAATGGCTGAGGGCTCCTTTAGCGGTCAGGACAAACGCAGCGGCCCTCCGCAATTACCTCCGTCCTCCACGCCAAGAACTCACTTCACAATTATACGCAATTAGGGAAATGTATGTTTCTGTGAAGGGGGCCGTGGCCAATTATCCCCAGCTCCCGTTTGGCAGCTTTCATAAAAGATAATTGCTGATGACCAAAGATGAGTCTCTCTGTCTCTCTCTCTCCCTCTCTCTCTTTGGTTCCTGCCTTTCTGGTGAAATATCCATTTCAAAACTAATGGCTTTCAGGGGCTGCACTAGGGATGAAGCCGAGGCCTAGTACAAGGGGTGAATAGGGAATTATGCGTGTGTGTGTGTGTGTGTGTGTGTTTTCAAATGTGTGTGTGCATGTGTTTGGAGTTACAGGTGTTCCTATATGCATGCATGTTGTTGTGCTGTCATACTTCGCTGTCTGTGAGGAAGAAGTTTCAGAACTTTAAAGGCATCTTGGGAAATAAGAACAGTTTGGAGAGTGTGGACTTTTCTCGACAGTGTAGACATTTTTTTTTTAAATGAACAACATTTTGTAAAGTGAGGACATTTGAATAGTGAGGAAGGTTTTTAGAAAAAGAGGACATTTCTGTGGATTCTTAAAAGGGGTGTTTGATGGTCCAGACTTGGATTTGGAGTTTTAAAGTTAGAAAAAGTAAGACGTTCGAAGTTTAGGGTTTTGGGCCAGTGAATGCATTACATCATTAGAAATACCTCTGGAATGTGTGTGTTTGTGTGTGTGTGATCATGTGTGCAAATCTGGTCTTGTGTGTGTTTCTGTGAGTTTTTGTATGTGCGTGCATACTGTATCCATTCAAGTTTATGTAGGCAAACATGTGTTGACATCCACTGCTAGCCATTACCACTGCCTTCCTCTGTTAGCCGTCATGTGAATGCACGTGTCTGCACCCGAGCATGCATGTCATGCAGCTGCTCCTTTTAGCGCAGTAATTTCAGTAAATATTCCTCATCTAAGCTCCAGAACTTGAGATGTACTGATCTCCACAGAATAAATAAATAAAACACCACAAAATATTAGTGTGCACATTAACCAACAGATGCCTTTTCTCTTCTACCCCACGTACATCTGTTGGCACTTAAAACATGTAATACTTGTGTGCAGAACACACATAATAAGCTAACATGCAAAGGGGCTTATCTCCGGTTGATAAACAGATAAAGATGTTAGTGATTGGAGTGCAGCCTAATTCAAAATGAGATATATCTGCCATGTGTTGCTGATAAATTGTGAGATATGGTGTGGGATTTACTGAAATTAACACTAAACCACTGACCCACGCTCACATTTCACAAATCCATTTCCCAAAGTCCAAATTGAAGTGATATATATTCTCCATGCACCCTCGTCAAAGCTGTATTTCCCTAAAGGCAACTGCAGAATAATGTTCTCTCCTACACCAATTAAATGGATGAGATCACATGTTCAAAGTGAACTTTTAATTAAAAAACATGCTGGCTGAAAAAATGAGAAAAGGAAAAGGAATAAATTAGCTGTGTGTCCATTTTAAAACAAAACCAGCGAGTGCAGTGTACTAGAGACTGGAATGATGAAATTTGAGTGAGTTGTGTGTTTATGTTATTTCTACTCTCTTTAATTTAAATTACTATAAAGACAAAAATACTCATGACTGATGACTTCCTGTTGCTCCTCACTACCAATCATTTAGTAAAAAGGGTTTGAGTGTAAAAATGATAAATGGCCTGATATTAGCATTCTGATGCAACTTTGCTACACATTATTGGTGACAGTTAAATGTCAGGATACAAAGTTTCCAGAGTTGACGTTGAGTACCACAAATGTGTTTGTGTGACCATGACAGCACGTTTTTTTTTTTGCATTATGTGAAGAAAAAAAAGAAAAACATTGGCAATCCCTGTCCCTAAAAACCTTTTTATATATCCTTTTATGTCAACAAGCTGTTGGCAGGGAACTTCAGTTAAAGCAGTCAAGTCTCAAGTGACCAGACATTGATTGCCAAATTACCATTAAACATTTGGGCCTGTCAACTCAGCTTGAAGTTGCATCTCCATAAGGCAGTGACTAAAAAGCTACACGATGCATGTGACTAATGGCGACACGTTTCATTGCCAAATTTATAAAAAAAGAAAGAAAAAAAGAAAGTCCCATTCTCTGAGTTCCTTTGCATACAAATTGGACTTATATGTGTGAGTGACTTTAATGGCTTTAAAAGAGGCCCTTGAGGAAGACAGGAGAGGAAAGTGGATAAAAGGAGAGCAAAGTAAGAGAGGGTGCATGGGGAGGGGGTGATGAGAGGAGAGGAAAGGAGAAGAGGGGAGGGGAGAAGAGAGGAGGTGACTGAGGTAAGAAATTACCTGATTGGTGCGCCACGTGATTGGGCGGGCTTCAGCAGGATGGTGATGGTGGTCTCTGTCTCATTCAGTGGAGCCTCAGACTCGTACTCTGGCATCATTGGGGCTGAGGGTAAAAAAAGGGGGAGGGGGAAATTATTGTTCAGCATAACAAAAATAACTACATGTACTGTAGCTGTATTTTTAACATACATTCTGTACTGTATAATGATAAATCGCTCTAACCCTTACCCATTCACTTATATGAATAGAAACACACTGACACTGCACCAATACACTTTGTGTAGTATGCAGAGACACAATACAATGAGTTTGAATGTGTAAAATGAACATTATGTCAAAGAGAAACATACGAATCGAAAGGAGAGAAAGGGATACTAGACTTACAAAATGTTTTCCAACATTAATATAAATTCTTACAACAAAATGCAAGGTCAGCATATACGTTTTCAGGTTGGTTCACTTTGGATATGTGTAAACAAGTTGAGGCTGTCAAGCACACTATATCTTTTGAGTTAATGTAAAAAAAAACAGGACTTATTCCGATGTCAAACTTTTCAGTCTTCTGTAATAAATGTCAGCAGAGGTAAATATATTATGCAAAGCTTTAAAAACAAAAGTCAAATCGACAAGTCTGTTCTGGCTCTGATCTTTTGTCTTTTTTGTAATTACATTTTTGCATTCTACTATGACAAGAGTTATCTTATCAGGTGCTGTTAAGAGCAATAAAAGGTGGATGTACGCTTCACTGCGAAAGGCATAGACATTGAGGTTTTTAATTTCACATCTGCCATGCCCTGATATTGGAGTTGCAGCATCAGTGCCTCTCCGAGTAAAACATCAGCCCCCTTTTCCCTGATTGGTGTGGCATTTAGGTTATTAACACAAGTCCAACCCCATCCTCCTATGTCCATCCATCTCTATCTGTCTGCATCATTTAATTTAAACCTCTTTCTTTTGGTCCCTGAATGAGATAATGAAGATTGGGGATGGCGTGACATTTGGAGGGAGACATCTATGTTATGTGTGGAAGCACCAGGGTTTTTTTTCCCCTCTTAGCAACATGTTGTGAAGATTTGAAAGGATGATGGAGGAATGAAGGCTCAGTGGAAAGGTCATGCTAAAATCACTGTAGGTGTTGACAGACAGTCAACACGCTAATGACACATTTAGATTGCAGTCTTCTGTAGTTCAATCAGCACGTACACTGCCAGCACTCAGGATTCAGTTGTGTGGGTCATTGAAACTTTGGGAACCATTATTAGATTGGCAATACATTCCCCAGGGGGTTAAACATGTGACATGTGTACCATTTGTATAATTGAATGTGATCTTGTGCCACATTGCCAATAAACCCCGAAGCCTTATTTGACAACGGAGAAGTGGTCACTTGTGGCACTGAACAGGATGGAATGTGTGTAACTGCATGAATATGAAAAGATGTGAGTGTTGGAGCAGAGCCTCTCTGGGTATATTAAGGCTACAAGGGAAGATTGATGCCATTATCTCAGCTTCATATCACATGTGGGACACATGAATAATTATCATTATTTAATTACATGATAAAACATAGAAGTGATAAGCTCTATTTAGATTATGTAGGGTAGATTTGACATTTTTACACTTTTATACTACAAATTATGTAATACTCAAATACATAAATATCAAAAGACAAGTAGGTGCAGTCTTGCTTTGAATGTTCTTATATATTGATGTTCTGTTTATGCATCAACACACAGATTTTGAAAGAAACGGTTCTGGATTTTAGAATAAATCTCCACACACTGTGCATGGAATGGATTATTATATGTGAGATTGAACTGAGCAGATAAATGGTGCTTAGATGGGTAAATTTGTCACATCTACAAGAAACTTTGGCAGCTTTCCACCCTGTGTTTCATTGGCCTTCGCCACTGTAAATGAAATATATCAAGCTTCCTAGTAAATGCAACTCCTCAGGACAATTCTGAATCCAGTTGCCAAAATGTTAAATACACAGTTCTGTAAACAGTAGCATGCATAGTTGTACTTCTTGCATTCATCTTGCATTTAATTAATGCTAGTGATGAAATGCAATAAGTCATCGTTTGTGAATTTTTGCATTCGTTTGAATGCAATCAATGGATTATTGACAGAGATCATCCATTGTCCTATACACCCCCCCCC